TTATGATTTCAAGTACAGGCTGATAAAAAGTGAAACCGATGGTTTTATTCGTTTCTTTGTAAAAGGACCTACATATCCTAAGAGGTTAAATGATATGGTTGAGTAGATCAGCAAATAAAGCGACTCCAAAGATCATTCTAGTAACTACTGAGATAACCACTTATGTCCCCTTATTTTATAAAACTGCCTTTCCAGTTGAGATATAGAGACCTTATTGGTTATGTCACTGGTTACTAGCATGGTCTTAAGAGCCGCTCAGCAATCACAACATGATTAGCCTTGTTGACGAGTTATTTAATCACCCTGCAGCTTATTTTGACTAAAATTTTGATGCATTCTAAAGGTAAAAAGTAGGTAAATCTCTAGCCGCTGTGACGCAGAAATCAAAAACCAGCTGTTTTCAACATATTGTCGGACCCAACAGCAACACAAATGACGTAGAATGGCATGTCTAAAAAGTGGTTTTATACTTTTATTGAGAGGTGAAGGGTATTGGGAAAGATAGGCAAGCCGATCTATGTGGTTATGATACCCTCATCGGCTGAGGTGGTTTGCACATGTGTTGGGTCTGCAAACGTCTACTGCCTACCTCTACGGGAAGCTGGATTAAGTTGAAAGAGGGTTCACAGTGGTCAGACCAATATCTGGCACTAGTTTATAAAGTTTCTGACTGTTAGTCTGAGCCGTATGGGGGGAAATGTAGACTACCTGGCTGGTGTTCCTGAGACGATGGAAATCAGTGGTTGAGTACTCTTCGTGACATAGCTGAAAGTAGATCACAGTGGCGCACATGTATTCACCCCTTGAAGTCTTCTAAAGCTCGAATATTCACACTAACTGTTATCTCCAGATTGTTTATTCTCTCACACAACTTTGCTTTGACATCATTTACTCTATCTACCTGTTCTTTGTATACTATTGTAAAGTGCGGCGAGTCGAACCGATGCACTTGTGTGCGAGGTTTTTACATTGATTATGTTTACTCTGTCTTGTTGAGAATTTGTCACGAATTGGTCGATCAGGGCTGATACAAATTTTCAAATAAGCAAAAGAGTTTCATACTATTTGAAGGTACGCTGACCAACAATGAACTGGATGGTTTGAAAAACTTGGGCGCCAAGTTAGTATGATTCATCTTTTAATGTGTATTTTTGCTGGTGTAATTTTGGCGTAGTACATTAGAACAAATAAAATAAATAAGTATTTCGTATTATTCCTCAACGTTTCGATATTGCTACGACCATCCTTTTCAAGAGTATGAATCTGGCACTAAGTTTTCAGGTTAATATTCAAGTTTTGGTACAGAAGGTGGTAACCTCTACGATCATCCAATTACGCCGTGATGTGGAGCAAAGATCAATGTAATACAGGTGAGTGAATAAGCGAATTGGTTAGTGAGGCTTTTTTCAGTTGTGCGAGTAAGGCGGAACAAAAATAGGGTGGGGAAATCTTCTTCGACTATGATAAGCACAATGGGGTTGTGAGTCATCAAGGGCGAGAAAGAGATTACTAGTTTGGAAGGGTGAATATTTGAACATCATACACCATATAATAATACTATATTTGTTTATGTGGTGTAGCACATAGTGATAACGTAATTTTTATTGGATGGCATTTCCAGTGTAAACCATTGCTCATAATGATATTACACAACTTTCGGCAGCTGAATTCTATAGTTTTATTACTTGTATTCTTTGTTTTCAGTGGTAGTAAAATTTTCCACATCTCTGACATAGGTGTTTAGTCATTCCTCTTATATGTATCGGGTGTTGATTCAACTAACGGAGATTCAGTAGTCGATTTCTCTCCCCGCCTAATTATATTGGACTTTGGTATACTTACTGTGTCCCACCTTACTGTATATAATACTGTAACTGTGTTTTAAATCAAATACATAAATCTAATATGGAACTACGTCCTACCACATTGCTCAGTTTGTACACACCATAGAGTTAACGCATTCAACCGTTTATCTCCGTACTTTGAGAACTAGGTACTAGTGTATAGCTTATATGAACGATTATAGATTTGACCGAATAGTACGGCAAATATTGTGCATACAGTTTGTCTGCAGATTTCTCTCATCCTAGGTACCTAAATTTCGTTCGCATTACTTTGAAGAGATCTTATTACTTGTGTAGGTTAAGGATAAGCGATATCACCCGTTGATCACTGGTTCGAATCCGACCGAGATCCAAATTCCACTTCACCTTCAATCATCACGCAGTATCCCAAAAATTTTTCGAGAATTCATCCGACCGGTCAGGGGAGATTAAGCGAGCAACCAAAATTGTATCCTCTGTGTGTGTCACATAAACATAGTAAACATCATTTATTCCAGATACCAGAGTAGGGGCTGAAGAAGCTCATTGTCCAACCCAACTACAGGTGCAAACACTGAAGACTCCAACACAGTCTGGAACGTGGTTTCAGGAAACCAGAAATACTATGTCATGAAATTGGATCATTATCCTGGGTTGTAGAACTAGAAGGAGTTAAAGATTGTGTAAAATCCCCTGGCACAGAAGTGTGAAGAAAGTTTGACAGGTAATGAACGATCAGAAGTCGCTTGAGTAGGGACAGAGGTACGAGAGCGGATAACACTTCCTATCTAGTCAGATGACTGAAGACTACTTCTTGATGAAGTACCTGAAAGTGAAAGTGGTCTTATCGGTATGTAAGTGTCTCTGCGGATCCAAGAAATATATGCCCGAGTCTGGTCATCTTTGTGGAGGTTTTTGATCTGGGTTAAGTTTAGTTACTTCCTTACTTGGTGAAGATAGGAGTAAGACAAGGCTGTTTACTATCACCGATGATCTTCCTGATTGTGGTGGACTGGGTCATTCAGTAAAAAGTGAGGAGCGAGAAGAGGGGGATACGCTGGACCGGGGAAAAGATCCTAGAAGATTTAGATTTCACCGATGATTTGTGTCTAATGTCACACAAACTTGAAGATCTACAGGCAAAATCCAAGAAGTTGACAGAAGACACAGAGCAGCGGAGATGGGACTTCAAGTGAATATAGAGAAGACAGAGGTGATGAAGATACCCAACGAACAACAGCATCAACAACAAGCACCAATCACCATCAACGGGAGAAACTTAAAGGAAGTTTTCTCTTGCACCTACCTAGAAAGTATCGTTTCAACTACAGGCGGCACGGACGAGGACGTCAAAACCAGAATCGGAAAAGCAAGACAGGCGTTCATTAACATGAAACCAGTGTGGAGATCTTCTACACTCAGCATAAAGCGTGAACAACATCCGGATTTTCAACACTAATGTCAAGTCAGTGCTTCTATGTGGTTCAGAAACTTGGCGCATTACGAAAAGCATCTCCAACAAACTACAGATATTCATCAACAACTGCCTACGCTCATTACTGAAGCTCAGATGGCCAGAATAATCAGAATAAGCAACAAGGAACTCTGGCAAAGAACCAACCAAGAACCTATCACCCAACAAATATGCAGAAGGAAGTGGATGAATTGGGCATACATTGAGAAGACCATTCGGCGACATCACACGCCAGGCACTGGAGTGGAACCCAGATGAGAAACGGCGAGTTGGGCATTCAAGGGTGACATGGAGGAGATCGTGTGAGGAATAAATGAGAGCTCGTGGGCAGTGGTGGAGCCAGGTTGAAAAGACTGCAGAGAAGAGAATGCAGTGGAGGGGTGCTACTGAAGCCCTATGTACCACTAGGAACCCAAGGGACAGATAATAATAACAATAACTTCCTTACTTGAAGAATGCAAAGTAGTAGGAAGTTTATTGTTTTAGCGACGTTATTTTAAATCCTCTTTCTGATAAAGTGTACGCTACATCAGCACAGAGTGGTGGTTATTTACGGGGAAGCACCCTACTTATGTCACATGCCGTATAATCGGCATTATAACTTCGCCAGTGAACCCTCACCATAGCTTTAGTCATCTATACCATGATTATAACTGCTTTTAGTTTTATTGTTGTCAAACTAGTAGCCAAGTTACAAAATCAACATCTCAAACACCTGGATAGTAAGTTGAAAAAGACAACTGATTCATATTGAATAAATGAGGTGTTCAAAGTGTCCACGTCTGTTAAGACAAGTAGAATGCAATTCTACATAAGATTTGTTTATTACCATTGTGTGGTATATGACTTGACTTTCAATACTACAAATCCTTTACTTTGAGGTCATATACAGCCTAAAACACACTGTCATTACATTACAGCTAATTAGTATTCTGACTAGGAGAAGTGTTTGATTGCATTCAAATTATCAAAAGTGTAGAATAAAATCGTAGCCTTGTTATGACTTTCTAATGCCTGCACTCATTTCATTAACAGTTTCCTATTTTGTTGTAAATCACGCTAGTCTAATTATGTCTAGTTCTTCACCCATCCCCTATTTCTTTTACCTCTTAGCCAAACTGATAACTCAGCTTCATGTCAATCATTCTTAAAATCTGTAATTATTTCTGGTGTCATAGTGACTAAAGTTTAATAGCTGTTTGGGATTAACTACTAGTTAAAAAAATTATAAGAGGGAATAACGATACCAGTCAACTGTAACTTTATGTTGAAGGTTTGTGGGGATTTATTGATTTCAAGGTAGTGTTTGTCCAGGACTGACACTACTTGAAGAACCATTGAAAACCTGCCCGCACTGGATAGATGCTTTGTCCTAGTATGGGACTCTCTAGTAGTGTGCACCCATGACCCCTCCAGCGACAGACCGAGTACCTTCAGGTCAGTCCATGATGAGTACTACCTCATAACATTAGGATTCCACATCCATTATTTCTGATATTCACTTGAACTTAAGTGAAATCCACAGTAATAGCAATAATTATAGTAGTACTTTTTTGCTAGTATGGCATATAGTTCACTTAGTAAAAGAGGAATACAAACATTCAATTTGGACAATATATTCTCGTGGAATGGCTACATATGAAAAGAAACAATTTAGTCAGGTTGCAGACTGTATAATAATGTCTAACAAAAGATTTTTTGTTACGCGATAGAATGATGTTTGAGATTGAAACGAAAACTTGGGTGGTGGCAGGATTTGATCAGCGGACTATGCAACACATTTGATTTTATCATGACTGGAAAACAACCATGACTTAGCAAATCCTCGACACTTTTCACCGTTTTTTTTACTTCACCTAAAGAACACATTATGAAAGGCCAGAAAGTACTGAATAGGTGGCTGTTCCTACCTCAGGATTTCTCCGTGTTGCTCACCTTCAGACATGTATGAGACTGAGCCCAGAACTCCTTGGTAATACAGTAAGTATGTTACTGCCAACCCCTAACCTAAGCGATCGAAGTGAAGTGGTATACATTTTCCAACTCTTGTCAATTTTACGATATAATTCTGATATCATTCTGTGTTTGCAGGGAATATTAATTTTTACTGATCATGAACTTTTAAAATGCTAGGAAAAATTGAATTTAAGGTAGGTTATTAATGTATCGTATCTTGGGTTACTACTGGTTAAATGACTGCTATAAAACATGAATATTTTTACTTTTGTTAATAGTTGTTTGGAAGGATTTACTTTCAAAATTTGAGATGAATTCATTACGATGGAAAGTGACAGTTTTCAATACGAATGCATATTGACTTAACGATGGAAAGGAAAGGAAATGAACCGAACCAAAGGAGTGCCGTTTCTGAACATTACTAAGTTTCAGTGTATATTTCGGTGACAGTGATTCATTTTGAAGCAGTGTTTAGATAAATGAGCCTACTTTCTACGAAGGTAAATAACTCCAGAAGAATATCGGAAGCCACAATCTATCAAGTCAATCAGACCAGGAGTAGACAGATTGACATAGCAATACAGAACCTGGCATAAAAGCACACCATCTCCAACTGCCATACTTCAAAACAACATGCAAAGATGAAGTGCGGAAAAAAGTATGACATTAAAGCAAACACTAAAAAAGTGTACAAAAAGACAAGTAGCCTTTCCGATCTTAGCATTCTTCCATGCTACTTCAGCTAACATGACATATTGAGGTAGGCTATGCTTCGGTATGACAAAATATAACCAATTCACTTGAGTCCGCGGAAGTTCGTAACCCTATATACTGACTGAACTTCCTTGCCTATTGCTCGACGCCTAACCACAACATGGCTCACATAATAGCTCTGTAGCAAATCTATGACTGAAAACCTGTTAGTTCCTCAAAATAAAATTGAAGATGAACGGTAAGAGATGATAGGGAATAATACTTAAGTTATGCAGCTAGTTGACTGGAGTTACAAATATGAATGATGTATCATAATCCAGTGATTTACTGATAGTTGTCTCGTAACATCACTAGAATGTGTAGGGACTGATTCATATAAAGTATGCCAGTGAGTGCAGTCGAAAGGTATTAAACAGCTATTGTATATCCCCAAATAGTTTATAGTTCTTCAGACGATGTCAGTCTATACCGAAAACTTCCTCAGAGGAATATAATATCTGTGATGGAAAGGATGAATGAATCAAACGCATAATAAAAAGATATGCGATGAGGAAAACTACCGAGATTTAAATGAGAACACTGTACGATTACAAATCGTTTAGGTCACAAAATGCAGAAACTTACCACAATTCAGTATCTTCGTTGAAGTTTCATCATTTTTATTATTATTATTATTGCCAACATTATTCATAACAGACTCATTTATAAATGTTGATGGTCTAGTTTTTGCAGCTAAAATAGCTCTCGAGATATCTTCAAGCCATCGATCACGTTGCCAATCTGATGAAGCTGCCACAAGAAAACAACGATTACCTGAGTAAATAGTAAAACTATGTGCAGGTTCAACTTCCTCAACCATTAAGTCTTGTAAGGAGAATTGACCATGAACCTAGAAAAAAAAATATAATGATGCTTGAAAGTTAACCAACATATTAATATGGTGTTTACAAACTGAAGATAGGAGATATTTCTTTAGTTATCTTTTTTAAAGGAGTTTGAAGAGTGTGAAAAACAGTAAAAGTTGTTCTTTGATGCTTGCAATTTCCCGTCACTCTTACTGAGTCGAATTGCTCGACGTCTGTTGGCAGATGGACTTCTATGGGGATGCCTTGATACTGTTTGGATATTCATTATTTTGTAGTCTGCTTTGGTGACTAGCAGTAGGGCAGAGGTCGAGCATTTCGACCCAGTAAAATCAGCTTGAAATTACAAGTATCAATGAAAAACAACCGATACTAGTTGCACAAAAGAAGGCTGTTTTACCCTAGTGAACTAATGGTTAACGCTCTGGCTTTTGAAGCAGTGAGTACTGGGTTAGATTTTCAGTGGAAATAACACCAGTGGAATAAAAGACACGCATCCTGTCCTACTTGGGACTCGTTAGATGGATCCGCTTGCACTCAAGAGTGATGTTGTTCTCACTTGGACTCGAACTCAGTACCCATCGCTTCGAACGCCAGAGCATTATCTACTTGGGTGTGAGGGTCACTACTTGTACAGTGACCTGTAAAGTAATGAGTACTGGGTGCGAGTCTCAGTGAGAACAGCACCATGTACATTCAGCTGACGAGTCCCAAATAGGAGGAAGAGCATGTCCTGGATTCCACCACCAGTCACTAAATAGACTGCAATATCATGAATATCCGGGCAGTATCAAGGTATTTGCACTGGAGCTCATCTACCATAAAAGGTCGAGCAATCTGACCCAATATGGCAACGTGAAATTACAAGTATCAATGAACAATAATGGCTTTAATGTATCAAGTTAATTTAGTGTACTCTATCTACTTTCCAGCTTTCTTTTAAATATGCATTATCGTATGTAAAATGATATTCACTTTTGTTGGCATACATTCGGCAGCATGATATTCGTCACATGAACATACTATGATTGTTTTGAATAAACTCACATTTTTTGATTATTTACTACGTGATTTCGCGTTCTCATTTCTACTGATTTTCTGTTTTCAGAATTCTATGTTAGTGAACCGTGTTATAGAAATAAGCGAATTCATTGTTTGGCCAACTAATTACCTAAAGGCACAGTTTTAGTACATATATAATTTGCTTTTATCACTCTGTAATAATTCCTATATGGTGTATTGTATCTTATACTTGAACACCTAAACTGTATGTTTTTCATAATTTAAAAGAATACTCCTCTTAAACTATTAGTGAAAAGCAGCTATCTTCAAGCTTATCTTATCCTATAATTTTCCAGTTTGATTTATTTGTTATAAATATCTCAATGCACCCATAAGGTAACACATTTCACGTGATTTAGTTCGACATCAGAATATCGATTATTTAGTTGTCAGCTTGATTCATATAATAAGTAAATTTTTGTTTAAAAAAAGAGTAAATCCAAAGACCACTCCAGCAACAGCTGAAATAACTAGTCAAGTTTCGCTTTTTCATCTGGGACAGTAGTTTTGCATAAAATAAGAAACGTAATTTTCTATCTCAGTAGCTGTTAGGATGATCATTAAAGTCACTCTAAAAAAAGTCTGGTTGTAAATACAAGTATGCACTAAGACCTTATAATATGCACCATTTGAATAAGGCAGTATGTTACTAAGATATAAAAATGCACGAATTAGAATTTAAATAAAATCATCTTTCACTTTAGCTGATTGACTTTAAAAACCACCTCAGCAACAGATGAAATAGTCAATCAAATCTCTTCACTTCACTTTATAAAGGTAGTTTTCATAATTAATGATTTAGGTTTCGCTAGAGTAGTTGTTAAAGTCACTTCTTAAACTCCTAAAGACTAGCAACACACCTTCAAACTAGACATTTATCATACTGGTTGCTTCTAACCTCTCATTTGTGCGTAAATATGATCAAAAAAGTAAAATTTCGATACACATTCAGTTGAAACTTTTCTGTTCACCAGTAAATTGTTTTGAAGCTTAGAACTGTCAGAAATGTTGACTAACCTGAAACCAGACCACTTCTCTGAGTACCACACACACAACGTATACTTGCTGATCAACAAGCCACCCAGAGTTTATTTTCTAAACCGTTGTGGTGTGAGTTAAGTTCTTATATTTGAAGACACGTATACATTTCAGTCATCTCAAAGTGCTCATGTAATATGAAACTGAATAATACAAGATGCTAGTGTAATTTCATTTCATCGCATTGATAAGCGTTTATTCATTACTTATAATCGTAACTAACTTAGATTATCATTAATTTTACTAAAGTAATAAAGAATAAGGAGAAGGTAATGAGCAATGAAGTAAGTTTCGTAATAATTTTTCTGAAAGTAGGTGTTTAGAAGCTGTAATTCCTCTGAAATTAGTTGTTTAAACAGTATTGAAGTCAGCATTGCATTGATTCTAATTGAAAGCCATACAAATGGGACAAAAAGCGCGTCTTTGATTCCTCTGCTAGTCACCAAGATCAATATAGCGAAAGCTATACATCATTCAACAACATACCAAACAGACGTTTAACACGATACAGACTAGATTATTATCTATCGCATACACAGTACACATACAAAACCAATGAGTAAAGGTTCTACTTTAGTTTGAACATATTCTCTGAAATAATCATGATCACATATTTCATATCGTGTTTCTCTGTGGAATTAGATTTCACTGACATCAAAAACTTGCAATGTAATCGATATCGGTAGCTTTCAGACGTACAGCTATCTTTGAAGCACATGGTAATAGGGAATTATTTATTGACGTCAGTCTTTCACTAACCTCATAATAATTAAACTGTAATTGGTTAGGTAATAATATCAAGAAGAACATCGATAAGTTAGAAAAAATTGCTTATGAAATCGACTATAATCATTATTCATAAAATATAACAACCTTCCAGTCAACACATCATGTAACGATACGTGCATTCTGTTTTCTAGGTGGGTTTTCTAGTTTCTCTTGTTTAATCACTTGTCAATATTTTCTTGCTCACTTTTTTAGAATCTCTACCAGTCGAATGGAATTTATTATTCTAATAACATTGTGTTGTATACCACTCTAATGCATCCTTGTGAGTAGTACGTACTGGAGTATCACAAAAAAGTCACTTCAAGACACATAAACTCTTTCATACTCTTATGGCTTACATAATCTTGCGGGAGTATTTGTATGTTTAAAAAAAAATAACCTTATTAAGAACCGCAGTGAACCCATATTTTTAGTTAGTAATTCTAATTGTTATAGTTCATTTTAACTAACATTTTCGCAGGACACTGTAGCTAACTTTAAATTACATCCTTGAAACAGGGATAGTATATACAACTATGTGTACTATGTAGTATCTTTCATCAGCAGGAAATTATGTAACTGTGGGGTTGTTCACACTCTGATATCATTCAATACAAGAAAGATTCGAGTGTAAGTGAAGGTACTGAGAAGATATCAAATCAATAAGTGAAGTCGATTCCTATACGCTATAAAGCAGGTACTCAGGGAAACGAATAAGTGGTTTCACATGCGAATAAAGCGGGATGAAATTAACCCAACCATTATGAAATCTTCATCAATAAATATATACTAAACTAAACTGCAGTAATAGGAAGTTTGTAAGATCATATTTATGACTTCCATAGAGGAGCAACGATTTATGGGTCATTATTTCGATTTTATCTTATATAAAGTCACTTAACAATGGTTTGTATAGTCATTTTCCTAACGTTAAAAAATAATCATACATATGAGTCGGATAAGCTATGAAGCATCAAAATGTCTATTTTAATGATGACTTACATAAAATATTGGTACTCAATTGAATAACATTTCAATCACTAGGGTTTTTCTGGATAATCACTACTTGAAGCGCTTAACAAAATCAAAAAGACCTAATCATCCTAAATAGTGTTCCAAAAAACTAATGCAACATTTTGCTTTTTGAGTTTTAAGTAAGCTATCAAAAGTATCATTTGCTTTGATTACTTATACAATAAACCAATAGTAATATTTGTTTAACCGGCTAATGGAATGAGGATAGAATAAAAAAAAAGGCGAAATTCACCCAGCAAGCACATGCCCATTCGTGCAGTAGGCGGTGAGATATACCTATTTTGTGAGAACTAATGATATTACCTGGCTGTCCAGACCTCGACAAGTGGGACTGAGTTTAAACCCCTGACCCATCGATTGAAGATAAACTACCTAGATCAATGGGCCTTAGCTCTTATTATCTCCAATGAAATATTCAAATCCTCTTCATCAAGTGACTATAAATTTGACCAATCTCTTATTTTAACTTGGCCATAATCTCTCTAATACACTTTATTTATTTATTTATTTTTATGGTATGGAATGACACCAGTTGTAAGGTCATTTAAAACCCGGCAGCACTAAGTAGCTGTTTCATCCTAGTTTGGGTGTCCTTAGTAGTGCACACCCACCATTTGGAAGTGAAATGTATACCACCGGGAGACCTTCGTGGATAGTTGTACTATATCACGAAGTAAAAAATGTTATAAACTGTGGACCACCGAACGTCGACCCAGCGACTGAATGGTAAACACACTCGCTGCGATACCTGAAGGTACCCAGTTTGAACATCTGTGGGGTCATGGGTGCATGCTGCTGAAGAGTTGCATACTAGGTAGGAACATTTGTTCGGTGCTCTCGGGTTTTCAGTAGCTGTCTAACTGACATCGGTCTGTGATAAGTACTACCTTAAAAATGAAATCCCCATAAACCTTAAATTAAATTGATTCATTTATATCAATACTATTATTTTCACTCTCCTTTTCTTAATCCGTAGTTATTGATTTTAATAGGATTGTTCCACTTTTTCTTATCTCCTCTTTTACTTCATAGATTATTGAGTAATCACTTTGTAACTACCGTTCAGCCATTACCTGGTAGTTCTGTAAAAAAATTTTGATAACTTTGTATTGACTCATCAACCATTCACGGGCACATATTTTTGATGTACCTATAAGTGAGAATGTACAGCTTCTGAAATTGATTCATGGAAAAGAAAATTTTCTTCGAAGAGTTGTGTTTTGTTAATTTTTCAATACAAATATCACTATAGGCAAACACAAGCATAAATGTACTCTATAATATATAATTATCAGTAAATGTAAATAAGATTGAATACACTTATTTTCTTTAATAAAAAAGAAACGGACTTATTTACCTTAAATTGTAAATAAGGTGCTGTTGTCCGACTTGCATAGACTAATTGATCTGACAACAGAAAAAACATTCTTGGCTGATATCCTTTTTTAGATAACTTTTGAAGCCAACCTTCACGAATAAACTGTCTATTAGGATGATATACAGGTCCTAATGAATGTGAACCACATACTGATGTATTATTAGATATCTGTTTATTACTATGATGATCACGTGACTTTTCACTTTGTAAATTGGAATATTGTGATAAATCTGAAGAAGATATTACATCTGGATTGAAACCAATTAGATCTCTTTGAATTTCTAATAATTTATATGTATTTTCAACTTTTTTATAAGATTCCCATTGTGATTGAATAAGATCATTTAGCTTAGCATGTGCAACTGAAAGTTAAAAAAACACAAGATATTATTTAATTAACGTAGAACAGTAATGAATTCTGTTAGTAATATTTATCTTTATTCATACTGATTATAAGTTACTGGGAAGAGATGATGGGTTATCCGTTTTGATAGAAAAATGCAATGATTAAATTGGTTATGGTAGATGGACATTTTTAACCATCACTATGAAGTTGAAATTTCGTTTCTAACACAAAATTCTGCTTACTCATTTACATTAATTCTTTCCTAAATGCATGAAAATGATGTTGTTCGTTAATCCCAACTCTAACTAACAGCTTAGCATAATTATGTGATACATGTACTACCAAGGAGAGTTCTATTCTATCCGATAGCTAGTTTTACCGTAATGCTTTTCAAATGTGTTTGTAATGGCTTATTGTACATGATGGTTAAGTGAATTCCCTTTGAAAGGTTTCATTCTCTTGATATACTTTGGCAGAAATAAACTGCGTTAATGTATTAGTCTGTAAAGTATAGATTTTTATTGATAAAAATAGATATTAAGTCAACTGCATATACGAGAATATTGTAGTAATGAGATCTAGAAATATGAAAAATCTTACGTGCCATGAAGGACACAAGTTTTTGTAACAGATTCTGTCAAGTTCATTTTCAAGTTTCTATCTGTCAGTACTGCCTGGTGAATCAATCACCATATTTTTGGCCTATCAGATGCTAGTGAATTACAAAAATTTGAACTACACGACTGAACTTTTATCAAGAAGAAGAGTAACTGTTTTATATGATTATTTAAATGAATTTTTAATTATCTTTAAATCTTTTTCAGGAAAAGTGACAGGGGAATTAAAGAAATAAACAAGCTAAAATATAACTTAACCATACCATGTCTCATGGTCTTACTGGTTAACATATTTTTTTTTTCGATCCAAGGAGGGTGGTGTGTATGAGTATATATGATATTTAGTTCACCAGCTTCAATTGTTGCATTAAAGAGCTCATAGGAGGAACAAATCTAAATATATGCTTCAAATAGCAAATTATCACCTGGTTTCCTCTCCATTTAAAGGATTGTATACAATGCCAGGTGAAATCGAACAACTTTTACCTAGGTTACATACACATGACATTCAAGTAGAAGCAGTTTATGCAAGTAAATTACTAGTTCTATGATTATAGCTGAATGTGATGAAAGCCATCACCATACTTTTTGAAAATGAGGAGATTACGACATCTTAAAAATTCATTTGATGATTAAATTGTCAGGCAGTATACTTCGTTACACATAGTGATTTAGACATCTTTAGGGTTTTTTTTTCTTATTGGTTATGCTTCACATTTAATCGAGGTATTTTCAAGTCTAGTTAAAGTTATTTGAGGAAGGAGATTGCTAGTGCACTTGCAAGTTATTGAGATGGTATGAAGTAAATGCTGATGAAGTTGCCTTGCCTGGTGATGAAACATACAGGAATAAACTTCATTGGAGCTTGCAGGACACTAAGAATGCTAGTGGATTTCATAATTGCCTTTAACTGATGAATTTGATTATGATTCACTTGGGAGGTAGAAAAAAATAGTCACACGCTTGCATTCAGGTTTCGTATTCGAGTTATTGACGCTAAGTTCTGATTTTTGGTTAGTCTTCTGTGATCTCGATCACATGATACAAATAGAAATAAAGTATTTTGAAATGTTAAGAAATGAAAGCTGCAGAAAGTAAAACCTATGATGTTTTTTTCAGATTTATTTGAGTAGATAGACAGATAGGCATTATCAACACAGGACCTAATATCGCAAATTGACTATCCAAGCAGCCAAAATAAACACCATTTCACTCAAGTGGAATTCAAGAGCAGAAAGGGTAAAGGGTTAAAACCTACATTCACATAAATCGTAGAGTCATAAAGTGAAGCTGTGGTCCATCAGTTGAGGGGACGACTGTCAACCAGTGAGCTACGATTTCGAATCCCGCCCCAACTAATGAGGTTTGGGCGGGCACGTAGTATCGTTAGCTGTCTCATAGTAGATGTGGCTCATTGCCTACTATATGAGAATGCTCAAGGTTACTGAGGGGATTTCGAATTTTCGACTTCGAGAAAGTCATAGCACGAAAATAAAAGGAATATCATTTTACGATCTAGATAAAGATAAGACACGAATACATCTGCACTACTTCAATCGATTTTCACTCATATGTAGCCTCAAATAATTGGTTTCGGTTGGCTCATAGACCCCAACCTAGAGGCTTGCATTTCTCAATACAACTCAAACCAATAGTCGGAGACTTCATAGTTTGATGCTGTGCGCTAATCTGGTTACCTTCAACTCTCTCAAAATCGAATCCTACTCTAGGTAATAATACTTACCAAGATGGGTAGTCATTATATAGGTAAGTTTTAATATAATCCCAGCGTGTTTAGAAAATCAAAAACAATATTCTTCTGAACGTTTCGCTGTGTATGCCACAGCTTCTTCGTAACAACTATGGCCTGAATATGTATAAGATGGATAGTAGCTGAGTATACGTGATACATATTGCAAACACCTCAGTCAGTGAGTATTCACGACCTTATCAACTGACTTACGCCATATATCAGTTATACCTGGTCTTTGTGACTATCCTATCACACGTGAGTGATACTTGTCTTCCAGAAATTGATAAAAAGTAAAGATGTGACTAATGTATCCACAGAAAAGTCTTAAAACTCCCTAGTTTTTTCAAGTTTTACTTTCCTGAGCTTCACTTGGGCATCCTATACTGATAGGGTCTATAATGTTAGACGCTATATTAGGATGACTGATATCTGTGTGCTTATCGCAAGAATGTTTTCCTCCTTTTTGACTATAGAAATGATAAGAGATTCTAACTTGTCAGAGCGAATCATATCTGATTACCACACCCCCGCTGATATCGCAGTCAATCTAACAATCTCTGACCAAAGATCTTAAATACTTCTAATACCATTACATCAGGATCTACCATTTTCTCTAGTTACCGGAAACTGTAAGGCTTTATCAACTTTGCGAATATGTGGAGGCTGCACGTCAATGTTCCATTCAGCCTGGAAGTGGGTAATGAACAACCTAAAAGTTGCAGCAGATCAGGCAAACTGCTTTTCAAAAAGTGTTTTTACCATCATCCCAACAGTCTTTTTTGTTGTAGGTAAATGAAATTTGATGAATAGACGGCAGCCAGTTGTTAAAATGAATATCTTGAATAAGTCTTGAAGGATCATTATCAGGTAAAAAGACCAAGTTCTATCAAGGTTTCATTCATTAATTTCGGAAGACTGTATTCTATAGTATTACATGAACTTGGTAGTTCGAAAATCGGACTAAAAAATCTCCGCATAAGCGAATCACATTTCAGGTATCGAAAGCACATGGATCCCCTTTAAGAAGTTAGTTCACAATAGAGTTGAACAGCTTTATACATAGTTTAAGCAATATCATTGAAATTCGCTTTATACTGCCACACAACAATCAATTTCACATAAACTGTATACTACCATCGTGTAAAAAAATATTCTACATCAATAAAAAATTGAAAATAATAAACCGCTGTTTCTTTCTAGTTTAAAACTTTAGAAGTGAATAAAAGAGACTGAGTTTAGAACCTTTATACTTCATAGCGAGTGCGTTACTGTTCACTTGTTAGCTTGAAATCTAGTAGTCCACGTTTCCCATCTTCAATATATTTGTGATAAAACTTGACAGTTATCAAACAAAAGCCATTTAGTGTTTTATATATATGTATTATATATTTAGTTATATTTCTCTATACTTATGATGTTCGATATTCAATTTCTAGGCGAACATTGATTCACAGATAACGTAAAAGATGTCCGAAATCTAGAACTTCCTTTCTGTCTCTCTTCTCACTTGTACAAAAAAAAAGTCAAATGAAAGGAAAAGATAGACAAGGGGCAATTGAGTTTAAAGAACAAAATTAAATGGTGACAGCAACAACAGCATCAGTAAATGATAGATAACTACGTTCGTATAAATCGACCTAATGGCAGAAAAAAAAGAAGAAACTAGTCAGTAATAAAACTCGCAACATCGATTAATTTGTTTGCTGACAAAAACCAGAAAAATACTTCTTTCATTAACTGTAATCTGATAGTGAAGTGGAAGATAATATTTATTGTTTCATGATAATTTTGATTTAGTTTTCATAAAGAGGATTGTATTATTTGGTTAGAGGCAATCAACAGAAAGCTATGGACCTAGGTTTTTTGCTTATTAGGATTCGTCAAGGGCTTTCTGCCAATTGCCTCCAACCAACTGACATCTATGAAAGTGCATTGCGGTGGTGAGCCTACTAACTTCGTGGCTACATTGTAAAATGATCGACAGGACTCGGTCAGTACTCAGGACTAAACATGAAATTGGTTGTCCTCCAATGACCAATCAGTGACCAATCTATAAATATGAACGTATACGCATCATGTTGCTTACATTGCGTAGTTTTCCAATTTATTTGCAGAACTCCAGGACTCAATCTTGAGACTTCCTAAATGAGTTACTATTTCGAAACTAACTGATCACAAGCGAATATAAGATCTGTCTGACACGCTTCAAAAATTAAAGAAGTCCACTAAATAATGAGATGAATTATTTGATAATACCCATACGCACTAGTAACGGGTTTTACCAGACACTACATACTGATCCAGTGAGGGGAAGTGTTCCCCTAGTCCTAATTCTTCAATATTATGAATGAATTAGAACAGATTCGACTGGTGTAACTTTAGAAAGTCGGCCTGAAGAAATATCTTTTTGAATGTATCTCCTATCTGATTATTTGTTTCATGCTTCAGGTTTTATTACTATCAAGATAAGGATTAAAAGGGCGGAAATAATCACTAACGTATTCAGTAATACTGCCTACTAAATCAGGGTGGCATTTCCTCAGTGATCACAAGTAGTATCCCATGAGACACAGCCGCTTTCCATCTTACCTCACCCATAATTTGGATGCAGAGCTCAAATGTCTTTCAGAGAAATCTTTGCAAATT